GTAAGCTATAGTTATTAATATCATTCTTTCAATGAGAAGAACTGCCGAAATTAACGTTTATGAAAGGTTCCTTAAAGTTAAGCCAGACTAGAAGCTTACATCGCTCGGAACAAGTTTGAATTGAACGGTTACATTGGATGGGAGTTTTATCACTGTTAATTGAAAGGACACCGACTGCTTTGAACAGAGACGAAGACATGGAAGTAACCTATATAGGAATACACTGCTCAGTTGCTTTTATTTGAATCAGTCCCGGGTGGACTTGGGGTTTTTGTCCACAGATTTGAAAACGTAGAACTCTGAATCTCCTTGTGACGTACGACTTAATATTAGTACCTTATAGAGACGTATTGCTTAACAGAATTTCATTCAGTTAAATAGCCACACTTCAGGATTTCAATCAAAGGATAAAAGTGAAAACCTCTTTTTACAACATAGTAAACAGTGGCACACGAAAGCACTGCTCAGAAGCTCTTATTTAAAATGTAGAAATTAACGATTTCATCTGCTGCATGTTTCAATTGACTAAAACATCCTCATGTAAAACCTACTGAATAGTGCCATAGGAACGTACTGCTCAGCGTAGCAGTCTCTGGCCTTTGTCTCATACCTAAGTTAAAGACCATGTACATAAGATCTATTTTATTGTAGTTCATTGTATTTTCTGAGTGGGGTAATTATTACTTTTATTGCTTCGGACGAACGTGATTGATTAACGAAGGTGGTTGATTCGGCGAATATTGCTCGCTGAAAAATATGCGGCCCTTGACTTAAGTGCCTTTAACAAAGAAGTGTTAAGTAAATATTCAATATTAACAAATGAGTTTTGAGTTTCGAAATAAAAAGATTTTCTGAAAGTAGTTGGGGCTAGTGGAATGCAAGAAGGCAAGTCATCGGATCGAAGTACTCGTTTCAATTATTTCCCCTTCAAAGGGGCCCTTATACGCTATACAGGGAGGGAGGGAATCGGAATAGGCGACCAAGATTATCATTCCATTCTCGGGAAAGGAATATACGTCCCTCTGGTGTCACCTTTTCGTTACAGACGGGGTTCTCTTACTTCCAGTAATACAAACAACTCTGTAATGCGGGTGCTATGCTGTATATACCTTTACTACTATAATTATCAAGCGTAGATTATTATCCACTGGGTTTAAGACTAGCACTGGTTTTTAAGTATGCCAGTCTTGGCAGAAAGTTGGTAACACGGCAGAATTATCAGGTGGCATTTTTTCGATATAGCCGTCTGAGCAAAGAAAAAAATAGATCAATATTGGAGTAAAAAGTGAAATTTCCGCTTTTATTTTGTATACCGTAGAATTTTACTTTTCATGATATTTGTTGTTGTTGATGTAATTTCAACTAAAAGGAGCTCTCGGGGGAGTGTTACATTTTTGAAACGAAACGCAGAAAAACATATCGAGAAAACTTCGTGAAAGACTGAGTAGATTTTATTAAAAAAGGCAAAGCAAGTGAAGCTTAGAATTCCTTTTTTATATCTAAGAACGCTAAAACAATGGAAGTTCATGTGATAGACAGTTCGAGTTATCTATGATCAATTCTTCATTTAAGTTTAGCAAACAGTATCTTGGATTGCGGATTTGTCCGGCGACGTGTCGTTTTAGCGACTGAAGTGCTCAAACGCGCTCTGACTGGAAATCGTGTAGTTGCAAAATATCCTCAACCACCTCATAGAATTACTTGCAATTTTCAGTCAAATTAAGTGGATTGAATTTTACCTCATTTGAGCACGCTTTGAAACGTTTTAGGTGAAAAAACGCTATTATATATTATAAACATCTCTACAACACTCGCCAACCGTTTGTGGAAAGAACGGAAACGGATATAAACCCTTATGAAACTACAGGAGCCTACAACCTACAAAGCTTATAAAGTTATGTAACAGATGCGGTGCAATTTAAAGATTTAAAGAAGCCCTGCGCGCCGCTTTTGTTAGTCGAAGGTAGACATAACACTTTTTATTAAACCTATTGAATTTTACGGTGACAAAACTTGCAAGCTTGGTCAGTCGACAAGCAATACATGTCTTCCGAACTTATCCTTGGACGGTGTTCTAACCTATCTTTAACTTCCAGGACATTAATTTAAAAAATGTGCAAAAAAATACTCTGTAAAAGTACAATATCTGACAATGTGACCTTCACCGATTCTCAAACACACTCAGAACCACAACATATTTGGAATACTGTACGTGTTGAAATAAAATGGTCTGTATTGAGAGATTCAAGCTCAACCAGATAGTGAAATGAATTTCCTACGAAGTATTTTTGTCGTTTCAAGCTAGACAAAAATAGCATAGATCATCGACGCGCGATAGTAAAAACTGCAACGAATAATTGTAATTAAATGAGTGAATACGGACGATACTGCTCGCCCAAAATTCTTAATCATTTGAGATTATGCCAATATTGTACGAGATGCAAGGTACTTCATATTTAATCGTAATTATACCTTCATGAACGACAATCTTTTTCAGTCTTATTTTCGATGAAAAAAAAATATATACAGATATCCCAATTTCATCCTCTGCGCAGATATGATGTGATATTATTTTTCTTATTCATTTATATCCATTTATTTTTAAAGAAATTTGCCCACTTTATCTTTCTGGCCTGTGATAAACGTTTTAATGGAACACTGAATGCAAAATATTAAAATTGAAGTGTTTCAATGTAGTTTCTCAGAGGTCATACCGATATTTTTCAATCGCTTCAAAAATGATCTTATCCTTGTCTGATCGCTAGCCAATGATTGACTATAGATTGAAATTTGTTAAAATGTAGGTTTTAGTAAAATCGATATTACTATGACAACAATAAACAGAAAAGTTTGAAACTGATAAACTAATTTTGCGCGATCTAGACCAGCTACTGAAAATCCAACACTAGGAAGTTGTGTTTAGCAAATACCTCCGTAAGTAGTAAAAAATTCTGTATGTTTGAATTGGACTAAAACGAAAATATATTTCAAACCTTGAATTTTCAATAACCGTGATAGATTATTTAATAAATACGTTATAAATGTCTCAAATTATTCTTAAGTAGCGTCAGACTGCTGCTTAATATCATATTTCGATGCTAGGAAATTTTGGGGTACTTTCGATTCGTTCTTGCGATCTTAAAAACTAACTCGTTTTCTCACCACCTGTCTAAGTGCAACTTTATTCAAAATTTGGACTTTTAGCGCTTTTTTGTATATCTCTGAAATACGGTGGCCCACAACGGCAATACACAAATATATATCATATTACTGCATTCTATGTCTTAGTACACAAACATATTCATTGGCTTTGCGAGTATATTTACCAGTACAATAAAATATACACTAGTACAACAATATGTATCCCTGTACAGAAATGTTAATTTCAGTACAAAAATATAAACCCCAGTACAGAAAGATATCTCCAATTCTTAGTACACAAATAACTACATCTCTCAGTACAAAAACATAAGTTCCAGAACAAACATATTAATCGGTTGTGCGACTATATTCTTTAGTACAGTAAAATTCATGTAGACAACAGTACAACAATATTTATCCCAGTACAAAAATATAAATCTCAGTACAAAAATAAAAGTTGCGGCAAAAAAGAATTTAAAAAATGCAAAGAAAAATATAACAACAGTACAACAATGTGTATCCCAGTACAGAAATATAAATCTCAGTAGAAAAAAAAAGTTTCGGTACAAATTTTTTAAAAAATATTTTTCTGTTCCGAAACTTTTTTTTGTACTGAAATTTATATTTCTGTACTGGGATACACATTGTTGTATTGTTGTTATATTTTTCATGCCATTTTTTTCTTTTTTTTTTACCGCAACTTTTATTTTTGACTGAGATTTATATTTTTGTACTGGGATAAATATTGTTGTACTGTTGTATACATGAATTTTACTGTACTGAAGAATATAGTCGTACAACCGATGAATATGCTTGTTCTGGAACTTATGTTTTTGTACTGAGAGATTGATATTTTTTTTTTACTGGAGCTGTTATTTGTGTACTAAGAATGGGAGATATCTTTCCGTACTGGAGTTTATATTTTTGTGCTGAAATTAACATTTCTGTACTTGAATACATATTGTTGTACTGGTGTATATTTTATTGTACTGGTAAATATACTCGCACAGCCAATGAATATGTTTGTGTACTAAGATATAGAATGCAGTAATATAATATATATTTGTGTATTGCCGTTGTGGGCCACGGTATTATAGCGATCGGATAAGGAAAAACCACTTTTAAGGCGATTGAAAAATATCGGTATGGCTCTGAAAAGAATTCAAATTTCATGTGATCATGTGAAAGTAGAAGAAGTACTGCCGAAGCCGATTTTGTATGAAAGAAAATGAAGAATTTCCTTCAAACTTAACTGGGGAAATTGATTCAATCCATATTGATTATTTCAATAAAGGGTTTAGCACTCAGTCCTAATTTTGTGCATGGAGATTTTTACTAGAATGATTACCTTTCAGATGGCGGACTTTCTTATTTTTAATCTAAGAGATTGTATACCCCATTTACAATTCACACACGTATTGATAACTTGTATCATGTGGATATTCTACTTCGGATAAATATACTCTACAGTCAGTACCAAAAAGTATGTTATTTATAGCTCACAAGGTGGTCATCTAAGACTGGCCGCCATTTTGACGTTAAAAAGATGTCTAATTTATACTGTAAGGGCATTGTAAAAAATATGTGCTATAGTATGTTTCTTCGTTTTAAGATGGATCACTGTCTATTATTGAAAACGCTTCGAACATTTGTGACAGAAAACGAACGAGTAATGAAAAAAAAAGTGCTTCAGAGATAATGTACCATACGCCCTCGTTAACTGTTTCAGTCGTTCAGCCCTATATGACCCTGGTTGTCATGACGTTTTTACTGCGTCGTGAGATTAATCGGCTCCTGGCGTCGTTTAGTTAGCAATCAGACGGTGTAAATATCTAGTAAAAAGCGAGGCTTTTTTGTAGATGAGCGAGGAAGACGCGGAGACAAAGGGCGATGCAGGTGAAGAAACGGCCCCTTTGCACATGGAAACCAAAGACAGCAAAGAGAGCCTTCGGTATGGCTGGAGAAATGTCAAGCCGCAGTGTTTGCAAGTCCTTAACAGTCCCAAATTCTTCGTGTTTGCTTTGGCAACGTTTGGTTTTGTTCAAGGTAACTAACGGAACTGTAAAGTTTGTTGGCGAAAATGATTTTTAAATCATGTATATAAGGATGACGTTATTTCTTGACTGATTTTTTGGCGCCGAGTGAAAAGTCAGTAAAAGCTGGCTTATCAGTGAAGTGAAATATAATCGCGAAAACCTGTAGGACGACAGGGGAGTTTTAAAAATGTCGAAATCAAAATCACTACATATAGATGGTTTTCACAGTGACGTCATCAAATTGTAAAGTCAAAATAGCGAGGGTTTACGAATTCTTATTTACACTAGGTTGCAGATAAACAAAAAATAAATCTTCGTACAAGTTTCCATTCCCGTAAAATGTTTCATTTCGAAAATACAGCAATTTGAACTTCCGAGTTTTCACGGTGCGTGACACCAAAATAGGAATGCTGTCTCGTTGAAAAAAAGTCTCTCCTCTTAATTTTCAGCAGTATAATCATTTCATTATTAGAAGATATGTTTATGCGCACGTATTCTAGTTCTCGAGTGAAAACAAAAGCTTTCATAGAAAAAGTCAACTCCAGATGTTTTTGTTGATTTCCGGCGGCCATATTGGTGCACCAAAACGGTGCACCAATATGGCGTCTCCATACAAAGCTCTACAAAGGTGCGTGAAACGTTTCGGCAAATAACTCAGAAACTGTGTGTCACAAAGACCTGAGACTTGGACAAATTGTTTATAAATTAGTCTTTTATAACATTTCATTTTCTTGGCTTCTTCCACAAGACGGTTTCCAATTTATTTTTTTGTTGCGTGACTGTGAAAACGATCTATAGGCCCCGCTTATCTTTGAAAACGGAGATTTCTTATTTTTCTCCGTTGTAGCCTAAATTCCTTCTTTGCGTAAACGGCGTTTTCGCGCACCAAAAACGCAGGTTTTCGATAACGGCCCCCAGAGTGGTGGTTTGTTTTTTGCTTTTGGGTGTGGACAGACGAAAACGGAGGTTTTTGAATATGATGATGTCATACATCTTACCCAGCTAACATTACACATGCTCTGTGAGAGATGCGATCGTATTTCGATCGTTTTGATAATTAGTTTTTTCATGTAGACGGGCGAAAACTATTCAAATTGTTTTTGGCGTTTGTAGGCATGTGTGTCAGCGGTTTTACCAATCTCTACCTGCTGACTTTGGAAAAAAGGTTTCAACTTACCAGCACTGAAGTTGGATTTGTGGCGGCGTCCAATGACATCGCGGGAATTGTGTTAACAGCTCTGGTCAGCTTTTATGGCACATATGGAAACAAGCCCAGGTGGCTCGGGTACGGCTGCGCTATAACAGGTAAACTATTCAAACTCAATTCACTAAACAGTAATCAGCATTTTGCGGAGATAGTGCTTTAAAAGCTATTTTTTTAAAACTATAGTTAAGTACGTTTGTCCTTGTATTTTCAATTTTTAAATCTTACTGGTGCTGGGAAATAGCACCGTTTCAGGCTATGGGTTTAGGTCATTAATAGTTTATTCTCAAACTCATTAATTATTCATGCCGTCAAAAGCCAATAAATGACGACCATTTGGGTCAGGTGGATGAAGCTTGATACCTACCAAATAAAACACCACCAGGTTTTCATCAGAGATGAAACATGTTTTTCATCTGAGATGTTTTCTTGATAAAGAAAACTCATTGAAACAATGCAACATGTATTGCAATACCAGAGAAAACATGTCACACTGTGGTAATTTCTGCTTCATCACGGGTTCCAAACGCCTCGGCGAAGCAATCGCCCTCGTTTTTGACATATTACGTCAAACCTAAGGTAGCTTTAATTTGTTGTTTAGTGGATTCCCAGGGAAAGCGGGAGACGATGAGAGGTCCATACTCTCTACCTGGGTGAAGCCGGCCCGGGGGGGACTCCCATATGAAAGGGGCGAGGATGCTCATCGTCTCGCTTAGGGGTGTAAATGTCGGATTTTGGTCTCACTTAGGGAGTTCTGGGTAAAACGCCATTACATTTAGCCGTAAAGGTCTCTTTTAGGGTTGCACTCGAAGAGATATTAAAAAATCTTTCATTTTCAATTCCTTTTATTTACCCAATTAATCTAATTAAAGTTTAAAATGGTCTCTTTTAGGGGTCTAAAAAGGTTGGGTCACGCCCACATTGGTCTTCTTTAGGGGTTTAATTCAAAATTTCTGACGAGCATCCCCGCCCCTTTTATATGGAAGTCCCCCCCCCCCTAGCAAAGCCGGTTAACTTGAATTTGATAATTATTCACCATCCCTTTCAAAAACAAAATGCTGAACCACCAAACACAATTTAGTTTCTGTAGATACTGAGACTATCAGTACAAGTAGAGAGAAAAATCTTAAAATATAAATGCTGAGATAGATATTGAAGAATAAAATTTATAGATATTGAGACTATCACTATCTCATATACGCCTCATTTTCTGTCGCAGGCCTCGGATGTCTAATATTTGTTCTTCCACAAGCTCTAGTTGGTCGTTACGAGCCTCTTTTAAACTCAAACGGATTCGGTAATGGAGAGCTTTGTCAGCTGAGCGTTAATGGTACCTCAGAATTCTGCTTTTCTAATTATGGTGGTCGATGGTATTACATATTCATCTTTTTCTTGGCACAGTTACTTATGGGTGGTGGAACAACTCCGCTGTACACTCTTGGGCCAGCGTACATCGATGAAAATGTCCATCCAAAATCGTCACCAATCTACCTGGCGGTGTTTTTCGCCTCTAGCTTGTTGGGGCCTGGATTGGGGTTCATATCTGGTGGTTCCCTGTTGAAGATCTACGTGGATGTGACTCAGGTAACTCGGTTTGTAGGTATTTTCGAACAAAGAATCAGTAGGGAAAGAATCTATAATATTAGAGTCTAGTATTAAGCTAAAAATAGATGTTTTTGAGAGCCAGACACTTTTCTTCAAAAAACTTTTATTTTATAACATCATCTTTATTGTCCGGCCTGCCTTACCCAGTCAAGTTGAAAAAAAATAGTATAGGAGAGATGTACGATAATACCTACAACTTTTGACGTAACAGGCGAAATCTTTTGATGTGAACCTTGAATTGCTTGAAATCAACCTCGTAACCAAAAATCCCCTTATGCTATGTTATCCTTGTAAATTCCCTTTCTCTCTGTACATAAAATGTTGCATCCAGGGAAAATTTACTTCCAACCGGGGACAAAGTCATTTCTCTGTTGGAATTACCTTGGAACCTCTATTCAGGGGACACCCTTGGGACTAGGTCAAGTGTCCCCTGAATAGAGGTGTCCCCTATCCTGAATTTCAGACGATTATTTCGAGTGGTTTTTCTCACTGAAGGAGTAAAAACGACTCGAAGTAATCGTCTGAAATTCACGCTAGGTGTCTGCTAAATGGAAGTTAGGCTGGGCTTTGTTAATAGTTAACCAACAAATAAAATCTTTTTCTTTTATTCTGCCTCGGTATTAGCCTGCAAATAGCAGACGTTCGCAGGCTACCTCGGTATCTGCTGCGGTCATAATTTGAAGCAGCAGATATTGCCGTGACTTAATTATCTCTGCGATGTTGTGTGCTGAATTCGATTCCCACAAGTTTAACAAATCGATTTTAGTGGGAGTAGTTCGTATTTTAAAAGCTATAGCCATTTTGACTAGTGAACAATGAAACTTATCAACCCTTTTTGTGGTAAGTCACTTTTCGAGTACTAAAGTGTCTCCTGGAAGGAGGTTAAAACCAGGTCCCAGAAAAAGTGTCTCTTTCCCCCTGAATAGAGGTGTCTCTTCAACAGAGGTAACAAATATAAAGATTATGTGAACATTTTTCAGGGACCAAATTTTGTGTCCCCTGAATGGAGGTGTCCCTTGAATAGACGTATCCCAAAGGAGAAGTTACACTGTACTTCTTTGCAGCTGGGAAAAAACGAATTGCATTGTCATAGTCTTAAGACAAAATCGAGATATTGTGGTATAGTGAATACCAGAGGTTTTTTTTTCTTGCATGCGGCGGGATGCTTTGGTGTCGATCGCCTCCTTGAGGGCGTCAATTAAGATCCTTGAAAGATCCTCACTAAATCTTCAAGGATCTTGAAGGATCTTTATAAAGATCTGCTTAAGATCCTGTGAAGGATCCCAGCTAGGTTCTAAAAGATCCGTGAAGATATGATTTAAAGATCCTTAAAGGATCTTCGTCAAATCTTTAAGGATCTTAAAGGATCTTTACAAAGATCTTTGAAAGGGTTTTTGAAAAGATCTTTGAATTAAAGATCCTCATCATTTTCTCGAGGATCTTTAAGGGATAGTTTAGAGATCCTTATCCTTCAAGATCTTTGCAGATCTTTGACGATCCTCAAAGATCCTGAAGGATCCTGTGAAGAGTTTCACCAGGGAAAGCCACGAGGAGGGGGACATTGGGGGGTACCCAATACCGCAATACCGTAAGAAAAAATGGCAAATACCGAAATACCGCGTCGAAAATCGTCTAAATACCGATACCGCATATTTTAATCACATTTATAATCGGTTCCCCATACTTATGGCTGCTGCCATTAGCGCGTTTAATTATCCCAGGCATTTATGCACCAGATTTCCATGTTTTTGTAATATTTTGGTAGTTCGCAAATTTTCACTGAAAAGTAAACTACGTTCGTTTAACTTTTGGTAGGTCGACCCAACAGCTAATTAACTCCAATGAAAATAACTCTTGAATTCGCGATAAACAAACCAACCAAAACCCTTTCTACGCACGTCTAGTGCGAGTTTTGATAAGTGGGTCTAGTCTCGCACGTCTCGCACGTCTCTCACGGGGTTAACTATCTCGACTGTCTCACATGCCGCGCCGGTAAGAGGCAAACTTACCAAATTTTCTCGTTTAACTTTACAAGGTATTTTTCAATTCTCGAAACCCGACATCTAAACTTATTCTTGTTGCGATAATGTTCGCCTCCTTCGCCCTTTTCATAAACGATTGCCACACAGTCAATGATGATCACGCCGTCTTCAACCAACGTGTAGGTCCTCGCATTACCGGCACAGGTTCACAGATCGAAAAGCCTGGTAAGGTAACTCGAGACGACTCATTGTCATTGGATACAACAACAATCACATTGTATATTATCGACCATTAAAACTGTCACAAAATGACCCACAAATGGTGTAATCATTTACCGTTATGTCTCAAGACTTCTAAATATTAACTTTTATTGACCTTTATGGCCTACTGTGTTTTGTTTTGCGCGTTGTATCGAAAGGAAAGCGCAAATAAACGGTACCGTAATACCGTGAACGATCTTATTTCACCGAATACCGTCAGCCAAAATGATGAAAAACCGCATACCGCAGAGCTAGATGATACCGCAATACCGCACGTGAAAATTAAAATTACCGAAATACCGCATGAAAAAAAGCCCGATACCGCAATACCGTAAACCCCCATGTCCCCCTCCACGAGTGGTCACAACTTTTACCGAAACCCGAATAACCGCGTATGAAAAGTGGCTGTGGCACTCAGGGTAGAGAACACCCGGGATAAAACTAAGCCCAGGAAGAATGGCTTAGATAAAATTTTTTTGCCTGATTATTTTCCTTTAGCCTGAAGGATCAAACCTTACACCTGATGATCCCCAGTGGATAGGAGCTTGGTGGATCGGCTTTCTGTTCGGGGGCTTTATACTTCTTCTCATGACCGGACTTCTGCTAGGATTTCCCCGAGAGCTACCCGGTGCAAAACGCATCCGCGAAGAAGCAGCCAAGGAGGGACAAATTCCAAAAAAAGACGAAAGACTTCAAGGGAACATTAAGGACATTTTGCCAGCTACGCTTCAACTACTGAAGGCGCCTGTTTTTATTTTTAATTCGTTGGGAATAACTTCCAGCTCGCTGTTTGGTGCTGGGATAGCTTCGTTCTTGCCCAAGATTCTCCAGCTTAAATATGGACTCAGTCCATTCATAACAGGAGTTATCATTGGGACGATCTTAGTACCAGGAACAGTAGGTAGGTATCTCGGATTAATTTAGGTTTCTGGGAAACTGCCCACCTACCCCTCCCCGGAGCCAACATTTTGCCCTAGGTGAGAAGTAAGTGATGAGAAGTAAGTGATAATGTTGGCTTAGGGGAGGGGTAGGTGGGCAGTTTCCGAAAAAGCTTAAATTGATCCGTTATCTCAAGTTGTTTGCTTTCAAATTTGACGACTTGTCTTCCTTTGCAGTGTCTTTAAAGTAGAAAATAAAACTTAATTTGTCCACCCCCACTGAAAGTTCGTTACCGCATGCATATGGAATCTGGATATTCAGATTCCTATGATCTTTGTACTGCCAAAGTTATGATTTTATTGCTAAGACCCTCTGATATGAACAAATATAATAATTGTCCAGTTTAACTTGGAATTAGTCTATTAATCTGCCTAATCAGTAAGTATGTCTTTGGCTTTTCATTATAACTGGCAAAAATTGGGCCAGCAAAAGTTTTTCGAGAAGGGATCATACCTTGTCATCTCCTTGAGATAGTAGCTCAGGGTTCCTGGTCAGATGAGAAAAGATCAGCTGAGCATACTCAGTTTTTATATCAGCCCAGCTTCGACCCAAAATTGTGAAATTCTCCAGAACATAGCGCCATTAATTATTTGTATGCTGCTTTGCCAAGAATGATTCTATTCTCGTGGCGCTGAGACACACAGTTCCACCAAGTGATCTCTTGGCGCCCACGCAGACGTTCTTAGGGCTTCGTCATGCGTTCCTTCCCTGATTGCGTGACGCGTGACGAGCGAAAAGAACGTCTGCGTGGGAGGCTAAACAAAAATAATTTTTCCGTCCTTATCTCATCTGTAGGTGGTATCTTTTTGGGTGGATTTATCGTCCGTAAATTTGACCTGAAGAAGTCGTTAAAGATGGCTGCCAGGTTTTGCGTCATCTGTCAAGTCTTCACCATCATAGGATCTGGATCATGGTTTATTCCCGGATGTGGTACCTCGGATTTAGCTGGACTATTAGTTCCGTATCATGGTAGCAGGTGAGAGGCCATAATAATCTTCTACTACTCTTTATCATCTGCCTTATTAGTACTTAATTTCGCTTTTCTTTAATTTTGCGTTTTTCGCGATTGTAAAAATAGAGAATTTTTTTTACGTAAAGACCTGCGAATAAAATCCTTGCGAAACATAATACCCATATAGAAAATTCAAATAACAGAAAATCAATTGCCAAGGGATGGAAGAAGGCGGGCATTAGTGAAGTAATTAATGGTTCAAAGGAACTGTCACCTGAAGATCCATTCGTAAATTTGCAATGACAAGATAATGTGTAGAAATTGCCGCCAACTACGTACTGAGACAATGCGTATCCACATTGTAATACAATTAAAAGATT